CACTCCTACGACGGCGCAGCTAGATCCCAAACCGAGACAGTAGTTATCCGCTCTCCCATGACTATTGCCTCGACAACGTAATTATTACGATCTTTCACAATTGCTTATTGTATGCAGAGTGACCAATGATTTGCCAAGGCCTACTTTAAGCATTTTATAATCAAGCTAATTGGTAATTAAGTTCAAACGTTCAAAACATTCAAGTTTCAAACCGTAATTCAGTCGTTCGAAAAGTCCTCTAGTTCGATGTAAAAGATCAAATAAAATGTTGAAAATAATATTGTCCACAATTAATTTTGTTCAAACCTCTTGAAATTGGACACGATTAAACAATTTGATACTTGCCGAAATGATCGAGTGTAAGAATAAGTCGTTCTCATAACGAATGAGGTTTGCAGTATTCACACAACATTTCCTTCTGTACAAAAAAAAAGGCATGCTTCTACCAGTTTACGCGTGAGTTTGGCAGAAGTTTATTCTGTCAACGCATGTGGATATTAGTTTAATATTAGTAATGGATAAACATTTTTATTGACAAACTGGCGAACATCAATTTCGTTGACAATGTAAATAAGACTTGTGCAAGGATGGTGCCGTGTACCCTGCAGCTGAAATGTCGTACAAGGACGGGGGCATACAAGAAATTCTTTCGTGAGTTCTTAATGTTTCAAATATTATTCACATAATCTTAATCGTCGAGATTAATAATACTTGCATTAATATTAATTAGCTGTTTCTGCTAACTCTTGAAGTCTATTCACGTGTGTGGGAGTAGTCCACAAACAACTATTCGCTTACAAAACGATGTAGCCAATCAGAAAAGTATGCAGTTTTCAGTGATATCTTTTCTCTCGCATACTACCGAGCTTGTATGGATTGCTTTTAATTTGTAATAACATCAACTGAAATTAAAATGAGCGTACTTATAAAGCAAGAAAAACATTGGATCATGCAATACTGACCCTGTGAGTACCCAATCCATGAACAGTCTAATTGACAAACGCTCACGTGAACGTTTATTATGCGCCACCGTTTCCGTACGCACTGATTGGTCATTCCAAAGGTTAATTGGTGACCACGAAGAAACGTGACGTTCTCTATCGGGTTTGCTAGAAGCCTAAGAGTATATCATTCTCACCAGCAGAAAAAAAAACGACTAGTTTGTCGACTCCACTTATACACCCTTTCCCAGCGTACCGTTTGGGTTGAAAACTTGTAATACAATCAAAAAACTATTTTATTAGTAGGAAAAGATATGAGCTACCGTAGAACGACATTGTTTGTTGCTGGATTTGGGTCTCAAGTTCGTGCTAGAGATTTGGCATACGAGTTTGAGCGGTAGGTATTCCATGGTGTCTGTTGACATCTCTCATAGCTTTGTGCTGTCGTGTTCGAGGAAAACCTGCAGATTTCAGTTGTCAAAGTATTAAACTTCACGAAACAATCTAACCAACCTTTACGTTTATTAGATACGGAAGGCTCGTTCGTTGTGATATCCCCGCTCCTCGAAGTTATCAGTCAAAGCCGTGAGTGCACGCAACTTATGTTGGAACGAATTGGTCTTTTGTTTTTGAGATAGGAATTTCACCGAGTAGTTTTCTGCTTCAGAAAGATTCGTAGAGTTCAATGATTAAGATAATAGCCCAAGCAACTCTACTGCATTTATTTAGTGATTGGTATACGGTACAATCAATAAGTGCTTATAAACTTTTTTTTTAGATATGCTTTTGTTGAGTTTGAGGATGAGCGTGATGCGGAAGATGCTTACTATGAAATGCATGGTCGTCGAATCTATGGACATGCCTTGAATATTCAGGTAAATATGACTTGTTACTGTTTAAATTTATGCCATGTACCTAAATATTCAGCCATTGGCATACAGTAACTATGAATCTAATCGTTATTTATGGTTTCAACATTGCCAAAAAAAAGTGGGCAAAAAATGCACCCTCCCGTTCTTGGCGGTATGAGGGCAGTCGAGGATCTCCTCGTCGTCGTCGCTCAGTCACTCCAAGATCTCGAAGGCGCAGATCATACTCTCGTTCTCGTTCCAGCTCCCGAGGTCGTAGTCGTTCTCCTCGTTCTGAAAACCGTCGTGGCAGTCGTTCGCGATCAAGGACACCAGATCGGACTAATTTAGAAGATCGTAATGCGGAGCCTAGTGCTAGGAGATCCAAATCTGCTTCCCCAAAACGCAGTGATTCTCGCTCACACTCTCGTGACAGAAGAGATAGGTTAGAAAGAAGTCCAAGAGATAGAAGCAGGGGTAGAACTTCCAGAAGTCCAAGAGGCTCAGGAGAAAGAGATTCGAGAGACAGAACTCCAAGGGCAGCGGAACGTTCAAGAGAAAGAAGTTCAAGAGAAAGAAGTCCAAGAGAAACAACTTCAAGAGATAGAAGTCCAGTAGCAGATGCAAGTCCTCGAGATAGATCCACATCACCTAATCCCCGTGCAGGTTCTACATCTCCATCTAGTACTCCGCATAGATCTCAATCAAGAAGCCCTCCGCGTGAATGAGGCCAAAAGAAAGGTGAATAAGCAAGACCAGGGATATTTGAACGAAAGTTGCTTGTCTGATGGTCTTTGATATCTAGTAAACTTTTTATATGATAACAAGAACTTGTTTTTACTAATATGTGAGTTACAGGCGATTTCTGTAGAACTTGTCTTTCTTTTTCCCCCTTTTTCTTTTTTTTATTTTCCCTGCCTTTGCATTATTCTTTATGCTGGGGTTAGCTTGTTTTCCTGTGAGGCAATGTTCTTTCGTCAATTCATTCCTTAGTTTGCGGATATTCAAAGTCATAATACTTCCACTGTTTTTGCAATCCATTAGTAAAATTCAAATTAATATTTTTCAATTTTGGTCGGTCACTTTTATGCAAGAACGTGCGACTAGGTATCAGGAAACTGGACTTTTAACCACGCGGTTTATCATGCCTGTTCGTGGGGAATTTTATACGCAGTTCTTTGAATATCATCAACGTATTTTTTATTGCAAATTGAGCAATCGATCGGACGGTTCGGTTCGGTAAACGGAACGGCCGGTCGCAATAGTAGTGCAGGGCATTCCTCATAGAGAAAAGAACCTATCATATAAACGAGACTTAGATCCTACCCTCTCAAAACGTGCGCGGTTTCCGTACGACTCGAAGAAACTTTCGAACGATCTGTGTACCCCCCGTACATTCGAGTCTGTATCCCAATCACAAATCACCCACACGACCGCCGTGCTCTACAAGAGTTTTAAAAATAAAGTATATTTCATACATTGCAGTTTCAAAACGAGTTTGTGTTCTAACAAATGTTACCTTCAGTCTTATCGAGAGGTAGTTTTCTCGATCCTACGGTCTGCTACGACTCCAGTACCTCTCTCCTGCCTTCGAGGAAATATTCCGGTAATTTTACGAGTCTCTTGCCTGCGCCAAGATTTCCAGAATGATAAACGATGTATATATCTGGAGAAAGGATCCGAGTTTTGGATTTCTCAAGTCTGAAGAAGACCGAGTCGTGATTCAAAAAAAAAAAAACCAACCCCCCCCCCCCCCAAAAAAAAAAAACAAAAAAAAAAACAAAAACAAAAAACGACGTAGCTACGACATATATGGCCGAAAACGAATACCCTATTGCTATCTAGTGGCAGTGACGGGTTGAATTTTGGGAAGGGAATTTGGCATGAATCTGAAAAAAAGTGGTGCAAACTAATGCCAACAATTTATAATTACGGAGATTTGGAAAAGAACAAACACGGGTTGACATAAGGTAAGACTTGCTTTCCTGAACTGACCATTTCCATGATGTAATAGGCAACAGATTCGAAAGCAACAACGGGTCGGTATCATGGGACGTCTGCAGGATATTTTATGTGCCACTTTGAGGTATATGTTTCAAAGCATTCTACTATGATGAGTTCAGCAAGGATGATTTGGCTTGTGTATACGATTCGTAATGTCAACCGGTTTCTTTATCGATTACGGAGAATGCAATGCTTGGTGTACCCTCTCATAACGGGCTAGATCGCAAAAAGTGCGTATCTGGAGAAAGAATAATTCGACCTATTTATGGCCGTTCTGATTTGTAGAATTATCTTAAAATAAAATGGTTTATTTTTTTCCCCCGGAAATTACATGTAATAGTTCATGTATGAAATAGCGAATATTTCTTGACGTATATTAGGTTTCTTTGTGAGCAGCAGCTCTTCGTTTCTTCAACGTGGCCCTTCTTTCTTTTTGCTCTTTCAAGTGTTTGACGAGCCGTTCGTTATATTCCTTAGCAGCCTCTCTTGTTGCTTGTGCTTTTCTCCGTTTAAGAGCAAGCAGGCGGCGTTTGCGCTGTCGCCTCAAGGGCGTTACCAGCCTCTGAATCTTCGGTGCCTTGGTGTACGCTTCTTTACCCTCTTTTTTTGGTTGAACTTCGCGCCTCACGACATATTTACGTACATCGGCTTTTTTCTAAATATATAGAGATATCAGTCAGAGTCTGTTACGCATTTATCAGCCCCAATATACCTTTTCCCGATCCAGTCAAATGATTTTTCACATCTTACGAGGAACTTACATCTAAATTCTAAAATAAATAGGGTTAGTCAATTTGTTCTTTGATATAAATAGATTCGTAGAAAAAGAAAAAGAAAGCATAAACCACATACAAAGAATTTGCGAATCTTTGATGCTCGCTTTGGTCCAAGTCGGTTTGGATAGGACTTGTCAGTTAATCCAGGAATGTCCTGTTCTCCTTGCTTGACGATACTTAGCGACATGACGGAGAGATCACTACCAACGATGCAACCACGGACGGATTTTCGTCTCCGTTCTCCATCGCGACGAGGTCGATAACATGAATGTCCCGCAGACAATAGGAGGTAGACTCGATCATTACGCAAAACACCTTGCTTCATCGGGAACCCCTGTTTATCATTGCCGCCAGTTATACGGAAAATATATCCTTTGAATTCGTCACCAAGCGAATCTCCAGGTACTTCGGCGCTTATACGTTTATCAAAAAATGGACGACTGTAAAAAAAAAAAAAGCCGTGAAAAAGTAAATATCAATCGACAATTAAGCAAATACAGGTCTTCATTCCTTGTAATGATAGCATGCAAGTTGATCTTTGCAATTATTATTATAAACTCCACCTACAGTTTGCGCTCGTCCTCAACTTCGATAAGCTTTTGACAGCCTGTGGCAGGGTTGGCTATGTTCAACTATGTAAATTTCAATAAAACAAGCACTTGAGCACATGACAATTCTTACAAATATCATTACGACTGAAGACTTGTTCCATAATACAACGACCAGAGCTCAGACGTGCTCGGTAGGCGTAAGTTATAAATGAGTCGATGATTGGTGTTAAGGTACCTTCATGTCGAACGTATAGTGACCTTCTTCGTTCTGCCTGGTCTTGGAAAGAGGAAGAATGTAATGTGGAAAAAATTTTTCAGATTTACGTGACGAAATTACACTATCACGTGACATTTACTATACTGTAATAATAATAATAATAATAATAATAATAATAATAATAATAATAATAATAATAATAATAATAATAATAATAATAA